CGTTGCGTCAAGTTTTTTTTTTTTTTGAAAGCCCATGACAGTAGGAAAGGCTCCTACTGACTTTTTCATAAATATGGGAGAATTACAACTTACATGGTAGTATGCATCTCAACCCTATATGACGCATGTTGCGTCAAGTTGTCAAGGATTCGCACAAGCTTCCCGAGCTAGCGCCGCGATCTGGGTCGGCCTGTTAATCATTTCGGCTATCCCGATTTTAGGAGATTCCCAGACGGTTTTTCCGGTTTTGGAAACCTTCTAGAAGGTTCCTGAACCGGTTCTTTTCCTGTTGCTGTTTCTTTTTCAATTTTCTTCTTTCATGTATCTTTTTTTTGCTTTTCTCTCATTTTTTGTTTTTTGCTTACATTTTTCCCTTTTCAAATTTTTAAATATTCATATTTTTCATAAATTGTTTGCAAATTTAAAAATGTTCACGTTTCCAAAAATTGTCCATGTTTCCAAATTTGTCTAGGAGGATTCAAACAAAGTTCACGTGTGCATCATGTTTCCAAAAATGTTGCCATTTTGAAAAATTGTCACAAATTTCAATAAATGTTCGTGTTTTCAATTTTATTTGTGGAGTTTCAAAGCAAATCAAGTTTTAAAAAAATGTGCCCTTTTCCAAAAGTTGTTCACGCTTTCAATTTTTGTTATTAGTTTCAGAAAATGTTCCCGTTTCATAACAATGTTCATAGAAATGTTCATCTTTTCCGAAAATGTTTGAGTTTTTTCAAAATATGATCACATAATTTAAAAAGTGTTCACGTTTTAGTTAAATATCCATATTTGTTTTAAACTTTTTTACACGAACCAAAAAAATTCATGTTAAAAAATTGTTTGCAAAATTCAAAAAAAGTTTGTGTTTCCAAAAAATTGTTCACATGTATAAATTTGTTCACAAGATTTAAAAACTGTTCACTTTTGCCAAAAAATTGTAAAATTTTGTTAAATTTGTTCATATATTCGAATAATGTGCAGAAATTGGAAATTTTGTTCCTGGTAAAATGTATTCAAAAAATGTTCATGTTTTCAAATTCGTTTGAAAATTCAAAAAAATGTTCGCATTTTCAAATTTTCTTTGGGTTTGAAAAAATGTCTTACTTTTAAAAAAATGTTATTATTTCTTAAATCTATTCATGTTTTCAAATCTTGGTCAGAATTTCAATCCTTGTCGAAGATTCAATAAAATTCTGTTTTTTCAAAAAAAATTGAGTTTTCTAAATTTTGTTCACGGATTTTGAAAGTATTCGTGTTTCTAAAAATATTCCTTTTTCAAAAATGTTTGTGTTTGAAATTTAAAATGTTTTAGATTTTCTGCTTTCTTTACTTTTTGTAGTCACGCGTTAGTACATAGTCAAGTTCGGCCATTAGAGCAACTCCAATGGGGCAACCCAAACGGACGGCGCATTTATCCGCTTTTTGTCCGCTTGGGTCGGCCGTCCGTCGGCCGTCCGCCCAGTTTTGCATTTGGGTCGGTAATGTGCCCAACGGCCGACCCATTTCATGTCCGCATTCAACTCTTAAATAAAAAAGGCCCGCGGCCGATCATGCCAGTGTTCATGTCTCATGCCGGCACCATGTCAGCGCCGGCATACAATGCCGGCCTCAGAAAGCACCACAGTTCATGTTGGCGCACTCGCCAGCCGGCCGGCACACATGCCAGCACACAAAAATGGTGGGACTTGAGTTCGACCACGCCATCGCGGCTCCCGTGGTCATGCCGGCACACCTGCCGGCATACAAAAAAGATGGCCCCTCGACGCCATAGATCACTCGTCGTTCAACTTGAGCATGTCGGCCTGCATCTTCTCGAACCACGGCCTCTTCCTTGGCGACAAGGCATTGAGATCCACCTTCATGATCTCCACCTAGGTCATCATGCTTGCAAGAGCCACTTTCTTTCGCCTTTGTCTTGGTGTTGGCGGCCTCGATCTCTAGCATCTTGGCTTGCTTCTCCGCCTCGAGCTCGAACATCTTGGCTTGCTTCTCGGCGTCAAGATCAAGCCTCCTCCTTTGGATCTCCATGAAAGCATCCATTTGCTCCGCCTTGAAACGTCGACGCTCCTTCTCTCTTGGGTCCTTCTTATTCATCATGTCGTCCACGCTTGCGATCAAGGCATTGGTGGCCGCATCTCGCTTGTCCTCCTTCTTGGAGTTGGTCTTCCCCCGCGGCCGTGCCGGCTCGCCCTCCCCAACATCCTCCACGGCGCCCTTCCCCCCACGTGCCTTGAGCGCGGCATATTGTGCCTTGAACTTCTCTTCGTCCTCGGGATCGTAGCCAGCACCTCGAGATCGTAGCCATCGCCCGGCGCACCACCCTCGAAGATGAGGTGTTGCATGTAGTCCTCGTCGACGGCGGACGACATTTCCTCGAACAGGTTACGGGCGTCCGGGAGACCGCCGGCCGGCGCCTGTTGCGCGCGTTTCCTCGTGCCGCCGGACGACGAGCCACCAACCACCGGGGTGGCGTTGAGGTCGATGGGCGCGGGCGTGGAAGGCACGACCGGGTTGCAAGCCGATGCGCGGGGTGAGCACTCCCCGAAGAGGCGGGAGGCCTGCGGGTAGACGTGGAAGCCGAGGACCGGGTTGCAAGCCGATGCGCGGGGTGAGTCGGGCATCACCATCCGAGGAAACGTCGATGAGCTGGTGCTGGCCGCGGCGACGGCGGCTTGGACGAGGCCGTGCTGGCTAGGTTTACCCCAAGCATGTAGAGCGCCTCCCTCATTGCCGCAGCGATGCGGGCGTTGGTGAACTCCTGCTGCGCGGCGGCGACAGCGGCGGCCTGCACAGCGGCCTCATCCCTCGCGTCCGCAGCGTGCCTCCGGCCCTTCCTCTTAGCCGACTTCCTTGCCCATTGTTTGAGCGTCAGCACCTTCTTCGGCTTGGCCGCCGCGGCGGTCTTGCGCGGGACACGAGGCTTGCCTTTCCCAGAGGGGGCGACGACGCCGGCAAGGCGAGGGAGGCAAGGCCGGCGGCGGCGTCGAGGTCGATGGCGTCCTCCATGGCTGGTTGGGTGTCGGGGCGCGCATGGGCGGGATCGTTTTTAGGGAAAATGGGGGAAAATGATGGTGGCTGCCACCTATAGGCGGGCCCGGGGGAAGGAGTAGGCGCGCACGTGCGTCCGTCTCGTGTCCACACCGACGCAACTCAAAATTGGGCCTGAAATGGATTGCCCGCGAACGAAAAACGGACGCGTGTCCATTTGGGTCGGCGCATTGGACCGCTACTTTTGTCCATGCGATCCAAACGGACGCGGACGAACGAAATGGGTCGCCTCATTGGAGTTGCTCGTAGCCCCCTTGGCTAGCAAGGCTCGCACAGGTACATGAGATCCACAGATCAAACCCAGATGAGCGCATAAAAAAAAATTCGGATTTCAGCGGCTACAATGTCAAAGCTGTTTACAGTGCCTGCTCACGGCAGCCTCTATTGGGCCGGCCCAACACCCTCGCCCTTGTGCGCGTGTCTCTGTTTGACGCAAAACACGTCAAATAGTAGGTCCCGCTACTTTGCGCGACAGCGCTCACACTTTGTCTGCACAATAATAATTGATCGCTCGCTCCGCCACACTCGCTCGCCCGCTTGCTCAGGTAGTTTATTTGGCTTGTATTTTCCTACAGGGTTGGTCTGCCGTCTAGGTAAAGAAAAGGATCACTTTTTTATTTTGAAAAAGTTTGCGAATTTGAAAATTGTTCACAAAATTCACAAAAAGTTCATGAATTCAAAATAACACAAATTCAAAAGAAGTTCGTGAATTTGAAATAATTAACAAAATGCAAAAATGTTCATGTATTCAAAAAGGACTGCAAATCCAGAAAAAAAGTTCACAAATTTGAAAAAAGTTCACAAAAATGAAAAGGTTTGTGATATTGAAATTTGTTACGATTTGAAAAAAGTCCATGAATTTGAAAAAAAATGAAATTTGAAAACAAAACATATAATAATGAAAAACAGTACAAAAACCTGGCAAAAACAAAGATAAAACCGGCCAAAAGCCTCTGGAAGCTTTACAAAACCAGAGGGAACCACAGGTTACAGCAATACAGCGCCAAATAGGGTATCGCAGATTATACACCTTAGTGGATGGGATGCAGACCAGCGGCCCAGACTCCGTGCGCACCGAGTGTCGTGCACAAGAATGATTATTCGGATAACTGACTGTTTTATGTCCTTACTTCCTTTTATACGGTGGCAACGGCTATCAACCCAGTTCCATGTATATATGCTCGTGCATTTATCCACTTTGCATGTGCTAGTCTCTTTCTTTTTTCATGCAAGCTTCTCCCAACATGGAATGCTTGTCACATGCCACAAAAAGGCCACGTGGTTAAAATGCCAAGTACCCCCTCTGTCCCATAATATAAGAACGTTTTTGACACTAGTGTAGTGTCAAAAGCGTTCTTATATTATGGGACGAAAGGAGTAGATCATAAACGACATGCTCAATTAAACAATTTTAGATACAACACAAAGATACAAGCCACCAGGACAGTTATATACTTCCTCCGTCCTAAAATAAGTCACTCGACTTTGTACTAACCTTAGTACAAAGTTAGTAAAAAGTTGAGTCACTTAATTTGGGACGGAGGGAGTAGTACCTAGCTATAACTTAATTAGATACAAATGCACTGAGACTGCCATAAGTGTCACATATTTAGATGTTTTAATCAGCTTGCCCTATTGGCTTTCCCACAGTGTCACATATTTAGATGTTTTAATCAGCTTGCCCTATTGGCTTTCCCACAGTAGTGCCACATAGGAAGTAGAACTGGCAACCGAAGCAGGCACTGGAATCGTCTGGAAGCATCACTATTCACCAGAACTGAAATGAATGACGGTTCTTTCGAGAGGGAGACTAGAACCTACTCTTATGCATTTTAGGTTTTCCTTTCAACCGTGTCATTTTGGTGCAAACCTGCAGCACTATCTGAAGTAGGACCACTAACATGATAAGAATAGGACTGGCATACTATGTACCTGTAAGTGCATCCTTCAGAGATTCAGCATACAGACGTCACGTTTTCAGTTAGAGGGTCAGGTTCCGCAAGGCGTGCATCCATGTGCTCGGATATCAGACCGGTCAGAGCTTGGATTAAAGACTGTGGATCAAAAATGACACCCACCTTCGTGTCGCGTACAGATTTCACGGTTAACTGCAACATACGTACATCGAAACGACTGATGTTAGTAAAAGCATAGTGACTACAGAAGCTTGTGACTAATGCCATACAGGTCAAGGATCCAAGACAAAGCAGCAAGTAGAGAATTAGGCATCAACATCAGTCATGATTACGGTAAGGTCTAAGGGGACTATTACATCAGTCAAGTTTGTAATGTTGTGATTCTAAAGTAAGCTTGTTTAACCAGGTTTATCTAAAAAAGCTGCAACAGGAAACAGTGTAAAATCTGCATCAATTACCATCATTTAAGCAACAATGAACTTATAATCTGATCTAGATTCTGTTTTACATAATGGGGATGAAGATCTATAGGTGCAACTGGATTGTGCGATGAAAATCCCAAGCAGCATGGAAACAAATTAAAAACTAGTGTACCAACAGGTTCCAAAGTGGGTTCATATGCCCATCGGTTCATCCATGCACTTATCCAGGTCAGCAGTCAAAGAAGACAAGCTTTAAGGAATATAAGAGCATCTACAGCCGGACTGGGCAAATCCGGCCCCCTATACACCCGCGGCCGCGGCCGCGGACAGCGCCCGCCAGCCCCTCATATGGGCTGCCGCATATCCACATACCTCAAATGCGGAGCCTCAAATCCATGCAATCCATGCACGTCAATCATACGATACAAATTGTCCGAATTCAACAGTCCAAAACAAAGCAAAGCAAGTCATAGTTCAACACATGCCAAAATGAAATCAATGTCTGAGCGTGACGGATGCCTCGCTTGTTGGCCGGATCACTCGCCGGACGCCAACCATGCCGCCTGCTCCGAGGCCATCCTTGCGTCCTGCTCCGCCTGCATCCTTGCCGCATGCTCCGTTATTGCCGCAGCCATCCTCGCCGCCTCGTACTCCCTAGGCTCGTTGAACTTCTGCTCCACAAGCAACTTCTTTGCATGCTCATCCAAGAGGGTTTCGTCCGCCAACATGATCTTCGCATCCTCCGCGTCCCATGCGAGTTGCAACCTCTCCTTCTCAACCTCAATCTCTCCAAATGTCTTGACCTTCTCGAGCTCCCATTTGATCGCCGCCTCTTGCTTCTCCAACTCGATCTTCTCCCTCTCAATTTCCAGCTTCTTCTCCGTCCTCTTCCGGTCCCCATCCATCTTCTCCTTTTGCGCATCCAACATGAGCTTGTACCTCTGCTCTTTCTTGTTCTCCCTCGCTGAAAAAATGCCCGCCCATGTGGAGGACATTTTTGTAGCCGCGGCATCACGGGAGGCCCTTGCCTTCTCCCACTTGTTTCCCATGACTTGTCGCTTATCCTTGGCACGGTGGCTCTCCCATTCTCGACGACAATATCGTCCTCTTCATCGGCCAACCCAATAGATTGGTGGGAGCTTGAGCCATCATTCCTCTTCTTGCCGGCCTTGAGATCGGCCACAAGTTGTGTCCTTCTTGGCACTCCTTTCAATATGATCCAACAATGGCTAAAAGCAAACGGCTTCTCCGTTTCATGATACAAAGTGGCCGCCACCAGCGTCTATCAAACAACATATGTATGAGCACGAGAATGCAAACACAAGAAGCATATACAAATGATGACGAAATGAAGCAATTGAGCTTACGTGAGTTGCCACTCCCATCCCACTTTGAGGGCGTTTGGTCACTTGTGAGTAGTAGCTGACGTACTGTTCACTTCCCCTTGAATGATCCCCCATCGATGTTGGAGAGATGCCATATTGCGGTTGGTCACGATAGGATGCGGCTCCACATATTCCTTTTGTTCGTGATACTCCATCCAAATCTTCTCCCAATACTTGTTCCCCTTTTGCTCAGTGCCGCAAATTGGATCCATCGTTGTGGCCAACCAATCTTTGACCAACAAGATGTCCTCAAAAGTTGAGAATGCCGGACCTCTTGCCTTCGCCATCTTTCCCTTCGTCTTGCTCGGATTGGGATCGGATGTTGTCCCAACTTCAAATGAGGTGCCCCCCAATTCATACTCCATTTAGGTCGGACCTTGATTGTCATTGGTCATGTCCGACAGGAACACCTCCTAAATGATCATGGTTTGCAAGCATTCATCATGGCTGAAATGAACTAGTGGTCTATGCAAAACACTGAACATGCCATATGCAAAGTTAATTGGACAAGAGCAACAAAAACATACCGACTCTTGTTGTGTCATTCCGTCAAACAGGTTGTGGGCAGCCCGAGAGCCGCCAGTGCCCGTGCTCATCCGTGCCCGAACGAGCTGCGATGAGTGATTACGTCCACCGCCGACATCTACGTGGGCAGAAAGCTCTCCAGAATGCCCCAACTAGCTATCGGATCCTCCTCTGTCCCAACGTGGTCCGACGACGCAATCCACGTTGGCGGACGAATGGATGGGGTGCGGGGTTCCGGGCGGGGGCGACGGCTGCTCGTCCATGTCCGCATCTCCCTGCGCCACCGTCGCCACTTCCCTCTCTCGCTGCAGGCGACGCCGCATCTTCCGGGTGATGATCTCCGGCTTGCACGACAAAGCCAAGGACGGGACGCCGACAGACAAGGCGAACGCAGTCTCTGTCACGGCGCTCTGGGACGGGCTGGACGACATCTCAGGCGGTGGATTGGGACCGGCGGTGAGGATGGGGAGCAAGGATGGCGGACGGCGAGGGCTCGGGCACGGGAAATATAGGAGGGAGGCAGGAGGAAGAGGAAGGGTTTGGTGCAAATTATGGTGGGGTACGGCTGTCGGGTCTGACGTGGCGAACGCGCCCGAGCGCCCCCATATTGTTGGAGATATGCCCTAGAGGCAATCATGTATGATGATATTTCCTATATGTTTATGAATAAAGATAGTCCTTGGACATTATCAATGATGTGTATCAGCAAGTACATGACTTGTTTGTGGGACTATGCATTGTATGATAATTGTCCTAAAAGGTCCCTAGTCGAAAGGGCTGTGTGGATGCGCAACCGACTAGACTAGCATATGACACGGTCGATGGCTTGGTCTCACTAGCCATGAAGCATTGGATGCTAACCGGATAATATGCGCTCGGAAGGATCTGGTCGGATCCGATGTCGGATCCGAGTCGAGATAAGGTCCGAGTTGGACAGACCCAACTATGAGATGCAGCGATATGTCATCTGTGAGTCTCTAGTACAACATACGTTCTATGTCCTAAGACCTGAGCTGGCGCATGTACTCGGGATGGTGACAGACCTGCTTTGGGCCGACCAAACGCTACTCCGTAACTGGGTAGTTACAATGGTAGGTTTCAGGCTTGTCCAGACCCATGCTGCGAGACATGGTCGAGCAAGATGGGATTTGCCCCTCCGGTTATGAGAGATATACTCTGGGCCCCTCGTGTGATCCGACCAAGATAAGCATGGCCATGCGACAAGGATTATGAGATAATACGGATAGTGGTCAGCATCACTGGAACGAGAAAGAGGTCAGGCTACCACAAGGATGACAGACTTGCCTTGAGCCCGACAACATATATCGCGTGGCAAAAGGAACAGAAGTATGATGTACAGGTTCACCTAACCAGTTTCATGGTCTGCTTGGTGTTCGGCATGCCTTGCTAGAGGCCGCTACCAACCGTGCAGTTCGGAGGTGATCCGAACTGCGACCAAGCCGACTTGAACCTAAGGGGTCGCGCGCTTAAGGGAAGGAACCTACAAGGTCGGATCCGAGGACACTGGTCGGATGTGATCCGAGTTGTATTCGGATTGTGGCCGAGTAGACTTGTGGGCTTTAGGGTCTGTGCGAGGCCCAAGTGTTGAGCCTGCGACGGACGCCTATATAAAGTGGAGGTGCGGCACACTCATGCGGTTGATCGCTTCGGCATCGCAACTAGGGTTTGCATGTGTTGCGAATAGCCACCTCCACTCGCCACTGGTTGTGTGATCGGACCTAGCAGTCCGCCGCACGACGTTCCCCCTGCACGTGCGGATACCGTTAGAGGCGGTGCACTTGCACCGCTCTGACGAACCTGTACGAGGGATCCGACGACCGGGTGTTCGAGGGAGATCGGACAAGGAGGAGACAAACCACACGGACGCGCTGCCCCAACTCTTCTTCCGCTGCACGGCACTGCGCATCTAGTGGTAATGATCTGCGATCCATTCCCGTAGCATGTTCCTGGTTGTTATGCGCGTAGGAAATTCTTAATTTGCAGTCGCCGCACCCTACCGTAGAACTCAACAGTGGTATCAGAGCCTCTGCTATAGGATTTGGATTCAGATTGTATGCATATTAGATATGTTGAGGCAGCTGATGAGATCTGTTGTCCTTGATGAGATCGGCTATGTGCACGGTTGATGAGATCAATTGCACATGGGGATTGAAGAGGCTATGTTTTCTGATGATCGGAGTCGATAAGGTCGTGACACAACCTACCCCTACCGGTCGGTATCCGCCATCGGGGTTAATAGTGAAACGTGAACCCGAATCGGACTCGCGATGATCGATAAGATCGGTCAGATCAGAAAATTCGGCGTGATCAGAGTTCAGATGTGATCTGTGATTTCCGAAAACGTCGGGCGCTGCCCGCACCCGCGAGGGGTGCTGCCCTTTCAAACCCCGCCGGCTAACCGGCTAGCGGGACCGCCGTGTGCGTAGCGCCTTGTATTTCGTACACGATCACTCAAACCGGTAGAATACGATTCTGTGCATAACTTTATTTTGCAGGGTTTTATGTGAATAGTATGGCTCATGTGTATGTGATGCATGTGTGTAATTTAGACATGGCCTGCGTGCCATGTTTGTCAGCCGGCAGGAGCCAAAGTGTTGTCATTATAATGTATAACGACCTGTGTGTCGACTTGTGACTCTATGTAAAATTCATTACTAGTAGTAGTAGTTGGATAATAGAGATCAGGTTGGTGGCTTGGCGTCCCGGCGTGACAAACAAGATGAAGTTCCTAGATGGTCATCGGAGTCGGAGCCGACCTGGAAGAACGTCCATGAAGGAGCCATACTATTTCACAATATGTGTTTATTTGTGATTGTTATGCTTCTTTGTTTCTATGCATGTTAGAATGGTAGAAAGATCCCTCATGAATATCAAGCGAATTGACATCCCCGATGTTGCACCTTTGCACGTCAAG